GAAAAATTAGAAAACAACATAAAAATATATAACTAATTGGTTCAATGAACAGTAAATGATCATGAATATTTTTTAACAAAAAAAATAAAAAAGCAAAATTCAAAATATATTAAGAGTTGAAAAAAACAAGTACTTAATCTAATAAGGAAAAAAATTACTGTCGCAACTTCCCATACATCACAATCCTATGCGTGGCATAAACCCATATCATGTGTCAAACACTCACGTTGCCACCTTTCTCTCCCAGTCCTCCTTATAATATTCAATAGTCGTACCAGTTGGTGGATTTGAAGATCAGTTATCTGGAAAAATGGTTGCAAGTTCTTTCGTGAAAAACACAATTTTTAAACTTCCAAAGGTTTTTTCTCATACCCCTTCTCGAATTCTGCCTCGCAAAGTCTCCAGGGTTTGCTTCACTTCTGCCTCTAAATATTTTGAGGTATGCAATGCCACCGCGCAAAACGGCCTGTCTGAGGCGTACAAAAGGCGTGCAGTAGATTCAATTAAGGTGCATGCCTCTCAAGATTAGCTTCAAAAATACCACCTCGAGGCATATTACATGAGCCTCACAGTGAGATGGGCCTCAAGGCGGGCCTCTTCAGGGTTTTTCATACCATGTTGACATCCATGTTTATCCATGAAGATACCCATGGAAAATGAGGGAAACCACTTTTTTTAGTAATGCTATTCGTAGTGAAAATTGCCGTAGTCGCCCTACACATACACATGATAGTTTGTTATTTGATGCATTAATTTTGTAGTTTTTTATTGTCTCATACATCAAATAACAAACTAGTCACGTGTATGCCACGTAGAGCGACTATCGGTAATCTTCACTGTGAATAGCATTATTATTATTATTATTTTTTTGTTTGAGGGTGGGGGGGACTTTTTCCTTGTAAGTTGAAATATCATTTTTTGGTTTTGTATTCATTCACTTTCTTGATTAATACCTATTTTTATTAGTTAAGAGTTATTTTGAAGTTAAAATATGAGGAACTAGAATATGTCGTTCACATGCAGCACCTCACTCTCCTAACCTTCTACATGTGCAACTCAAAAAAAGAAGTGACCTAGACAAAAAGAAACGAAGTGGCTTGGACAAATCTTTTTTGTCAATAATCTCATACCAATCAATCGAATACTGTCTCTTTATCTTCTTTTTGGTTAAGTACAAATTGATTGTTCTCTTTTGACACTGTTATGCTGAAATGATTTTCAACAGGAATTTTTGTCTTGGGTCTCCTATGGATTTAGTTCTTCTTAGTAATGAAACAATTTCGATCACATGGTTGTTTCAAACTTATGCGGGAAATTTCATTGTGCATTTGGGTTTCATGCCATATAATGACCTACATCGTGTTCTCTTTCAAAATACTCATTACTAGATTTCTTTATTCTCGAGCATCTGTGATTCCAGTCATGTACCCTTTTACCATGCACACGTGCATTTAATATTATGTATATAGTAATATACACATGCATGCACACATAGGCTCGTGCACCTGATGTCTTCGCTTCGTTTTTCCACATAATTTTAAAGTTGTTCTTTTTACATTTTATCCACTTTTTTCTGGTTTTCTTCATTTTCTTTTGTTTTTTGGAAAGAATAGAGCTGAGGAGTTGAGATAAGAATGCAAAGCCTCAGATATCACTTTTATATCTATCTTTTTTTCTAACGCGAATAATTCTTATTGAATTTAACATTATGATGCAGGTTCAATCTTGCAGAGAAGTCTTTGTACCTTTTTTGGATTTCATATTAGCCTTCACAGGATTCAAAATCAAACTTGATGCAAGGTCAAAACAGTTGCAGCACTTACCATGTTAATTTTTATCCTCATCAGATGTTCATTGCCTGCAGTTCTGAGTCTATTCCCTATGAGGATGCTCAAGATAATTCATCAGGCTATCATGTTAACAGACCTGTGACGATAGATTTGAATTATTTTATTTCTGAATTGCCACAGCAAATGATAAATTTGAACAAAACATATAGTGACGATTCTGGAGGCTTGGAAAGAGATAGGGAATTTGGATCGGAACGTGACCCTTCACATTTCAAGCTATTTGGCAGAAGGGTGCTAGTGACACCTGGTGGACTTTCTTGGGACCAACATCAGCAAACAGACGACATGTTTACTCTTGGTGCTGAAAATTATATCCAAGAAATAAATTCTGCTCAAGTTACTTTTCCTTGGAACTGACACTTCTTTGGGTCCTCAAGTAGCTATCCAAATGATAATCCTATAAACAATGAGCACCTTAGATTTGGAAACAGAATTAATGGGGGAATTGCTGTGCAAGAAACTTCGAGCATAGCAAGTCACATGGAGGGGAGTTCCAGAGATATCTATGTTAGAAGAACAGAAAATCGTGTGGATAATATACCAACAAGCTTAAATCTTTCTGATGTTTCTGCTGCACAGTATCCAGTCTCATGCTATGGGATGTCTTGGTTAACAATTGATTATGTTGAGGCTGCTCTTAGGAACCTGCAATGTCCTGCTTTACCGATTCATAGGATGGAGGAATATGGAGATGGTTTTCCAAACGTCAACGATGAGTCCATCAGGTTGAGAGGCAACGATCATGCAATTCATTTTCGTGATGACATGGTTCATGCAAGCGAGGGTATGGCCTCGACTGAGGTGCTAGAAATGAGAGTACGGTTTGCGAGATCTACAGAAAATTTTGTGGAAGGAGGTCACACAAATAGTGAGAGTTTTGAAGTCTATATTCCACCATTTTTCCTTGAGACACAGGAAGCTTTCACTGCGAGAGTGAACCTAATCGCTGGGGTTAGTGTGTTATCGCATGCATTTATTTAATACTGTAGTGGTGAAGAAAATAAGCTAAAATCTTATTCATTACGCTTGTCTAAACTTGTCATGTTCTGCTTTCCAAATTTGCACTTAGTGTTTATCCAGGTGAGGACAACAGACGTTAATGTGATATAATTAAGTTTAAATTGGTAGTACATAATGAAGGAAACTCATTCAGGGTTGAGGTTACGCCATTTAATAAAAAAAGCTGGAAAAGCTTGCAAATATACCTCTTTGCATCTCTTCATTTACATGTTCACTGGCTGGATTATGTAGCTTCTAATAGAAAGAGACAATATATTTCACCCTTCTGCGTTTTTCCGAATTGAAGATTTCTAAAGCATTGTGCCAACAAATAGAAATAAAAAGGGTAATGCTACAAGTACAGGAGGTGCTTCACAGGTCCCTTACAGGATTTTGAATTGTGGTGACGTGGCAAGTGAGGGAAGACAAAAAGAAAAGGCGTGAAATTGAAAACTGAAAAGGGTAAAAATTTCATTTCATTTCTCTTCCATTCTAGCCTAAACTCTCCAGTGGTGATTCAAAATCAAATCGGCCGGCGGCGCTCTCGTCTCCATCTCCGGCCGGTTGTGCTCTCGTTTCCTTTTTTGGAGTCCACCTCACACCACATTGCTGCTTCATCGGTGACCATTTTTGAAGTCGACCTCGCACCACTGCTTCTTCGACGACTACATCAAACCAACACTGAAGAGCATGCCTCCGACAATACATTTGAACCACCGGCGACGAAGCAATGAAGAACAATTTTTTTCCCGACTTTTCCCAAACGTAGTCGCGCGGTAGACGAGGCAGCGAAGAAAGTTGCTATAGTACTTTAGAATTTTCTCCATTTTCATTTTTTATCAGAAGACCTTGTTAAAGATTTTTGCCTAAGGCTACCTACTTGTTTGATACGTCTCTGAAATACTCAGAAATTAATTTATGGTCCGTCTTCAAACCATAGCTTCTCTTTCAAAACAATGGCAGATTCAAGAGACAAAACTATGTTTGGTTGTGCTTATAAGTGAAATTTTGTATTACTTACATCATGTTCAGATAAGATTATAAAATGCTCTTTTGCAGTTGCTTCACTGTCAGCAGTGGCTACAGAATAGTCAAGAATTTCTTGTTTGANAATTTTGTATTACTTACATCATGTTAAGCTAAGATTATAAAATGCTCTGTTGCAGTTGCTTCACTGTCAGCAGTGGCTACAGAATAGTCAAGAATTTCTTGTTTGAGAATTCGGGTAGTAAGCCTGAAAAGTGGTGGAGTTGGTGAGAGGTCTTTACTGCAACAAAGTGTTTAAGAGGAACTGTGGGGATGGTTTTGGTTCTTTAGGGGGATATGCATGTTCTCAGCGTTGTAATTTTATGTTTTGTACACTTCAACATTGAACATGAATTATTCTCGATTTTCTTGGCGTAGTATTGACATTTGTTTTACGTGGTTGTTTTGCACCTCGGAATGAATGCTGGAGTCTGTCACGGCTGTAGAAGCAAGGTGCTCTAACTCAAATAACTAACAAACAAGACGTCGAGATTTTATTGAACGGGACATTCCACAAGGAAGTGGGGAAAGGAATTGTAATATTATTGTAATTTGTATTTGATAATGGAAAATGGGTGTAAACTATGTTCCGTTTATTATGTTTGGCATCAGTATTTCTTATTCTTGCCATGGATTTGAGTTTTGCATTTTATGTTGAGGGTGAATGCTTGAGATGTTGAACCCTTGTCATATCACACTAGTTCCACCTAACACTTCTACAAACAAATATAACCAAGATTCCAAAATTCAGCACTTTCACTTGTTATAACAAGCGGAAAACTGATTCAAAAACAGATTCCAGTAAAACCAAGTGACACGACAATGTTGAGCTTAACAAATTTTCCAAAATCAGCAGATTAAAAACCAAGTGATATCTCTTCTATAACAATTGTCCAAGTCGATGCTGCCATGCTCTCTTGCGTGCCAAAAACTTGAGGCATTTGAGAAGAATACCTCATTTGAGATCCAACAATTTTCACATACTTGGGATAAAACACAGAAAATGAGGAGAGCAAAAACGTAAGCAATACTTCCATATATACATATATCACTCTTGAGATACATTCAGTTTGAACATGAAAGATCCAAGAACCTGCTGTCTCTAAAAATTATACTTAATTGGAACATGAGCTAAAAAGCAAAATCTTCCCATTGATACAGTCACAATAACCTGAGTTAAGCCCCATCACTAGCTTCTATGAAACTGCTTTAAGACAAAGAAGTATACCAAAACAATTGCACCAATACTAGTTCCCACAACAATTAATGGAGCTTCTGGGTATTCTTGATGTAGATACGTAATGACTTCACGTACATCCCCTGTCCATCCCGCATTATAAAAGCAATCATTCTGCAAAGATGTGAAAATCTCAAATTAAGTTAAATAATTAAAGAACTGATTGACATAAGAACCACAAGCACTGAAACAGAAAATATTTATGGTGCTCCACTCAAAGTTAAAACATGCTATTTCTTTTTTTTACATAGATACATGAACAGTAGTCAAATCAGTGCCTGCGTTCCTCATCTTCCACATTTCGAATTTCTTTTATTCAATTAATGGTGTGGTTTGACGCAAGTGTATTCACATACGGGTTCTTCTCCATATTTCCATTACAAATTTAATTCCTAAAAATCATACACTACGCATTACAAAAGATTTTTGAAGATACCTTTCCCCGTCGGGTCAACGATACCTTCCAACTCCATATCTGAAGGAAGTTTTGGACGGTGCAAGTTGTGAAAATGATGCGCCGTTGGTNAACATGAATCTAGCTTGCATGTGAGAGGAGTTTTAGTGGTCAAACAAAAATATAATATGAATAAACAAGTACGTCCCCCTCTCAAACGTGTAAGCTTTATGATTCGGTATAATATCAAATCAAATAGTAGTCCTGGTATCGAGTATTGTCGTAACTTCTTTATGAAAATTGTGTTCATTCTAAGTATTTCAAGAAAGAGGAAACGTGTTTTGAAAACCAAATCAAAATTAATATACGTAATATTTCTCTAGAGTTTAAGCTTTTCATTCTATATGAGATCTTATATTTTGAAGTTCATTTTTCGCAGAACTTGAATTCAACGTTTGAGATGTCATTAATTAATTGTATATTAATTATATCTTAATTAACAGGTAGATGGTGTGAGGCATTCGGGTCCAACTAAATTGGTCCTGTACTTCACAGGAGCCACAAACATTCTCTACACATTTGGGGGACATGCCGTTACAGTGTAAGACATCCTCAATTATTTTCACACATTTTCACAAGTATTTCTCGACCTTCAAGTTTTGGGTTTGTGTCTATTAATGGCAAAATAGACATTTTGGAAGTGACTTAACCTAGATAATCTAGCCATGCGATTGGCTGGTGACTAGTCTTTGCCTACAAAATATTTAGTCTCCCAATAATGCCCTTCCCTGGCGTGGTAGGGGAAGAAAAGGTCACTTTCTTGGGAACCCTTTTTTGTGCTATTTGAAGTATAGAAAGAATGAATTCTTTCACCAATCACTTTCGATGTTTTGCCTTGTGAGACAATAGTGAAGTGGGCTCCACCTTGATCATCTAATTCTTGAAGAAAAGACGTTATAATCTTGTTATGTAGTACTTTTTAATTCTATCTGATGCTCGACTAATGTTGAAGTAATCGATGATGACAGCGAGATTATGCACGCAATGTGGAAGCCACAGAAGTTCAAAGCCATATACTTGTTGGCGACCCTTTATGTGTTGACACTGACTCTTCCTTCAGCAGCAGCAGTGTACTGGGCATTTGGAGATGCTCTTCTCAATCACTCCAATGCATATTCTCTTCTTCCAAGATCCCCCTTCAGGGACATGGCTGTCATTTTGATGCTCATCCATCAGGCATGCATACTCTTACTTTTTTTACAATCATGCTACATCTTTTTTCACATTATTTTTTATGTTGTGTCACGTGACAACATATAATTAGTTAAAAAACATTCTCGTCGAACACTTTTTGAACTTCAATAAAGTGTATACAAAGATGACAAGCAAAGGATGTACACTTATTATTCCTTTTGCTAACACTCTTGTACTCAATCTAAACACTCATTTGACGGGACTTCTCGTTTGACTTTTGCTTATCTCAGGCAAACTTTTTGTAAAACTCTTTTAATCAAAAAAGGTACTTTCGAAAAATTATACAACTATGTTCAAACACAGCTCCTAATCTCGTAAACAACTTTCGACTTTTTAATAGCCATGCGAAATGAACAGTAAGAATTAACCCATTTGATTGTTACATTCATGTAGCTCATTCAAATTTATTGAAAACAAGCCTTGAAAAAAATGATCAAATACCATATATAGGTGTGGGTGACTCCAAATCTATTGAGAACAAACCTTGAAAAGAAAATCGATACCAATGCAATAGCAACATGATTCTAAGCTACGTTATTAAATTATTGCACTTTAGTTATTGATCTAGTACTATACAACATTTTTAATTGACAATTAATGTTGCTCTTGTTTCAATCAAAGCAGTTTATAACGTTCGGATTTGCATGCACACCGTTGTATTTCATAGGTGAGAAGGCAATCGGAATGCACGAGTGCAAGAGTTTATGCGAGGGGGCGGCAGCAAGGATGCTGGTGGTGATACCCATATGGTTTTTGGCAATTGTTTTTCCATTCTTTGGTCCCATAAACTCAACAGTCGGATCGCTTCTTGTTAGCTTCACTGTTTGTATTATCCCTCCTCTCGCTCACATGTTCACCTTTAGATCAGCTGCAGATCGAGAGGTGCGTGAAATGTTTATCTAATTTTTTTTCTTCAAATTAAGATTTGTTTTACTAATTTCAAATAATCTGGTTGATTATTTCTTAACACAGAATGCAGTAGAACAGCCATCAAAGTACTTAGGAAGATGGGTTGGCACTTACATTATCAACATATTTGTGGTAGTTTGGGTGCTAATTGTTGGATTTGGATTTGGTGGGTGGGCTAGCATGACAAATTTCATACACCAAATCGACACATTTGGACTTTTCACCAAGTGTTACCAATGCCCACCCTCATTGACACCATCACCACCACCCCACCTACTTAATGTCATCGCCCCTCTGCCGCCTCCGCTGGCCAACCTCACTCTTCCCCACCACCATATTCGTGGCCGTTGATCAACCAAAAGACCCGAACATTTGTTAGCTTCTCAGTCGTTGACCCAATTGAATCGCCATATTCCCTAGCCAATTAAATCTCGTTAAAGTATATGCAATTTTATGAAATTGTAACTTACAGTTTATGTCAAATATTATTGAATCATGCTACATGTACTACATTGATTGACAACATCTTATTTGGTATCATCATATTCATCCATTTTAAAAACTGTTTTCTACGTCAAATACTAGGATTTTGACAAGACATGATTGTCAATCAATGTTGTCAACCAATATCGTACACCTAACTTTATTCAATATTATTACAACGTATTAATCCTTGTTATAAACACTGCAAAATAACCATCGCCTCATATGCTCTCTCCATCAGAGCCAACATCGCCACCATGATCAAAAACTAACTTGAACATACTGACACCAAATTCTTTCCTCGTAAATACTAAATCCCTTCAAATTTTGAATATAATCAAATTTTATCAAATTAAATGGAGGAATTTGAGTTTGATTCAAACCGTAGCATGACAAGCCATTATTCATGCCTCCGTCAAATATCATTTCTACCCTAGCTATGGGCCCACGTCACATTTATGCATTATCAAAGCTTCAATACAAATTCGTTCCCCTTGCATCATAATTTGGAGTCAAAACAGTATTTTGATGGAGTTATGAGTGATATTTGGAGGGGGTATATGTACAGAAATTCATTTTTACTCAAGTTTATTTTATTCATTTAGGAGTCAACTTTTGTTTTGCCAAAAAATTTATTTTTTAAAAATAATTAGGATCAAACATACGCTATAATATATGACAACTATCAATTATCAAATTCCCATTTATTCTTAATAATAACTCCTTTAATGTTTAGAAGCTAGAAAATTAGAAAAACCTTTGACAAAGGAGCAGGTCACAACCTTACCAAATACCAAATAAACAAAACCCAACTGGAAAATCAATAATGCAAAACCATTATGGTATACTCAACAACTGCATTATTGGTGGTAAGATTATACCAAACGGTTTGTGCAGTGGCAATACCGCGCGCCAGCCGGAAAACACTGGAGCCACCAACAATAGGCATTTCTCGGTACTCGTGCAAAAACGGATTATGTCCAAGTACACTAAGCGTGCTACCATTATACTTTACATCCGTGAAAGCCAAATTTAGGATCATGAGTATACCCAACTCTTCTAGTGAATCCGAACCGTATATCCCTTGGGCTCGACCCATGATCTTCGATTCGGGTTCTGGCCCACGCTTAAAGGATCGTCTGCTACACTTACTAGACCAAATGAAGTTGGGGACTTGAATGTAATGTTGGATTGAGCCACTGTATAAGAAGTTATATTCTTGCCACTTACAGTATCATAAAAGTAGAAATGAAGTTTGGTTAATTTTTCTTTCGCATACGTTAGCTTTTCGAACCACTTTTCGACAGCTTCCGGCCCTTCTTTAAGGCCACCTGCAGCAGCAGCAGTACTGATAATCACTAACGAGCAAAGCATGAAAATTATGCATAGCTTCGCCATTTGTTATTTTTGATCTATGATGAAGATGGTATTATGCTATATATATATAAGGACTAAAATGATTTATTATTAAAATTTTATCTAGTAAAGTCATGATAAAAATTATCAATTGAAGTATAGAAAGAATGAATTCTTTCGCCAATCACTTTTGATGTTTTGCCTTGTGAGACAGTATAGTGAAGTGGGCTCCACCTTGATCATCCAATTCTTGAAGAAAAGACGTTATAATCTTGTTATGCAGTACTGTTTAATTCTATCTGATGCTCGACTAATGTTGAAGTAATCGATGATGGCAGTGAGATTATGCACGCAATGTGGAAGCCACAGAAGTTCAAAGCCATATACTTATTGGCGACCCTTTATGTGTTGACACTGACTCTTCCTTCAGCAGCAGCAGTGTCCTGGGCATACGGGGATGCTCTTCTCAATCACTCCAATGCATTTTCTCTTCTTCCAAGATCTCCCTTCAGGGACATGGTTGTCATTTTGATGCTCATCCATCAGGCATGCATACTCTTACTTTTGTTAAAATCACGCTACATCTTTTTTCACATTATTTTTTACGTTATTTCACACGACGACACGTGATTAGACAGTTTTTTTTATAAAAAAAAAAAAAACATGTTTTCTCACAGAACACTTTTTGAACTTTAATGAAGTGCATACAAATATGTAAACCAAAGGATGTACACTTATTATTCCTTTCGTTAACACTCTTCTACTCATTCTAAACACTCATTTGACAGGACTTCTTGTTTGACTTTTGTTTATCACAGGTCAACCTGTTTTAAAAACTCTTTTAATCAAAAAAGGTACTTTCAAAAAATTATACAAACGTGTTCAAAAACAGCTTCTAATCTCGTAAGCAACTTTCGACTTTTTAAAAGCCCTGCGAAATGGAAGGTAAGAATTAACCCATTTGATAGTTACATTCATGTCGCTCATTCAAATTTATTGAAAACAAGCCTTGAAAAAAATGATCCTATACCATATATAGGTGTGGGTGACTCCAAATCTCTTGAGAACAAAACTTGAAAAGAAAATCGATACCAATGCAATAGCGACATGATTCTAAGCTATGTTATTAAATTATTGCACTTTAGTCATTGATCTAGTACTATACAACATTTGTAATTGACAATTAATGTTGCTCTTGTTACAATCGAAGCAGTTTATGATGTTCGGATTTGCATGCACACCGTTGTATTTCGTACGGGAGAAGGCAATCGGAATGCACGAGTGCAAGAGTTTATGCGAGGGGGCGGCAGCAAGGATGCCGTTGGTGATACCCATATGGTTTTTAGCAATTGTTTTTCCATTCTTAGGTCCCATAAACTCCACGGTCGGATCGCTTCTTGTTAGCTTCACTGTCTATATTATCCCTGCTTTCGCTCACATGTTCACCTTTAGATCACCTGCAGCTCGAGAGGTGCGTGAAATATTTATCTATTTATTTATTTTTCCTTCAAATTAAGATTTGTTTTACTAATTTCAAATAATCAGGTTGATTATTTCTTAACACAGAATGCAGTGGAGCAGCAATCAAAGTACTTTGGAAGATGGGTTGGCACTTACATTATCAACATATTTGTGGTAGTTTGGGTGCTAATTGTTTGGATTTGGTGGTTGGGCTAGCATGGCAAATTTCACACACCAAATCGACGACACATTTGGACTTTTCACCAAGTGTTACCAATGCCCACCCCCATTGCCCCCCATCACCACCACCCCACCAACTTAATGTCACCGCTCCTCTGCCGCCTCCGCTGGCCAACCTCATTCTCCCCCGCCACCATATTCACGGCTGTTGATCAACCAAAAGACCCGAACATTTGTTACCTTCTCAGTCATCAACCCAATTGATTCGCCAATACCCCTAACCAATCTTTATTGACTGTGAGATCATAGGCGGATAACTCAGGAGAAATAAACATGTTTGGCCGTGGAACTGCTTGCAGTAATAGTAGATGATCCATTTTTGTGGCCAATTTTCAGAATGTAATTTAGATTTGAATTAATTTGTTCCCCTTGCATCATAATTTGGAGTCAAAACAGTATTTTGATCAAGTTATGAGTGATATTTGGTGGGGGTATATGTACAGAAATTCATTTTTACTCAAGTTTATTTTATTCATTTAGGAGTCAACTTTTGTTTTGCCAAAAAATCGATTTTTTTAAAATAATTAGGATAAAAAATGCGCTATAATATGTGACAACTATCAATTATCAAATTCCCATTTATTCTTAATAACTCCTTTAATGTTTAGAAGCTAGAAAATTAGAAATACCGTTGAAAAAGGAGCAAGTCACAACCTTACCAAATACCAAATACCAAATAAACAAAACTTTACTGGAAAATCAATAATGCAAAACCATTACTGTATACTCAACAACCGCATTATTGGTGGTAAGATTATACCAAACGGTTTGTGCAGTGGCGATACCGCGCGCCAGTCGGAAAACACCGGAGCCACCAACGATAGGAATTTCTCGGTACTTGTGCAAAATCGGATCATGTCCAAGTACACTAAGCGTGCTACCGTTATACTTTCCATCCGCGAAAGCCAAATTTAGGATTATGAGTAGACTCAACTCTTCTAGTGAATCAAAACCGTATATCCCTTGAGCTCGACCCATGATCTTCGAGTCGGGTTCTGGCCCCACCGTTAAAGGATCATCTGCTACACTTACTAGACCAAATGAAGTTGGGGACTTGAATGTAATGTTGGATTGAGCCACCGCATAAGAAGTTATATTCTTGCCACTTACCGTATCATGAAAGTAGAAATGAAGTTTGGTTAATTTTTCTTTTGCATATGGTAGCTTTTTGAACCACTTTTCGACAGCTTCCGGCCCTTCTTTAAGGCCACCTGCAGCAACAGTACTGATAATCACTAACGAGCAAAGCATGAAAATTATGCATAGCTTCGCCATTTGTTATATTTGATCTATGATGAAGATGGTATTATGCTATATATATAGCTGATGGATAATGCGATGCTCGTGTTACAAGATTCCATTGGAATAAGGACAAAATGATTTATTATTAAAATTTAATCTAGTAAAGTCAATGAGAAAAATTATCAACTGTTAGTAGTAACTCGGGGTATATTACCATCATATTTTTACTGGGGAGAATTGCATAAAATCAGGCATTAAGTTTCACCTTTTTAAAAATCAGGTTTTGTCGTTTTTTTTTTATTTATCAGGTTTTTATCATTTTATTTTAATTAAATAATTAATTTTTTAAAACTCTAATTTATCAATTCCTCACCCCCCATCCTCATCCCTCTCTCCATTGTCTCTCTCTCCTTACCCTTCTCTTCTCTCCATTTTTCTCCGATTGTTGAAGGAATTCAGATCTCCTCTACCCTCCCCCTCTTCCCCTTCTATCCCCCCCTTCCCTCCTTCCTCCTCCTCCTCCTCCCGTCGACATCGGGAGCAATTCACAGCGTCGAGGCACTGCTGTGAATTACAGCAACGCCTTGATGCTGCTGCCGTTAACAGTGGCTTCGCAATGCTGCTGTGGCTGATGGGTGGGTGTGTGGAGATCTTCAGCATCACGACTGTGGCTGATGGGTGATTGCGGCTGATGGGTGGGTGAGTGTGTGGAGGTCTTCAGCGACGCTGCTATGGCTGATGGGTGGATGCTATGGCGATGGGTGGGTGTGTGGAATCCGTGTGGTAGATCTGTGTGTGACGGTATAGCGATGATGGAGGTGGTTGTGGTGGTGTTGTGACAGGATGACCATGATGGTGGTGCTGTGCATGCGGTTGGGTGGTGGTGGTTGTTGGTGTTATTGTTGGTACGGCGGTTGTGACGATGGAGGTGGCGGGTGGATGGGACGAAGAGCGTCTGTTACCAATTATTTGGTCGATCTGTGACCAAGTATTGGTGGTGTATTGGGATGGAGGATGGGTGTTTGGGTGTATGTAACCAACTATATCGATTTGTGACCTGTGACCAAGTATTGGTGATGTACTTGGATTGGGGGACGTGTTTGGGTGTATGTGACCAACTATATAGTCACGTGACCTTAAAATTCATTAATATGTGATTCAAAATATAATCTGTGACCAACAAATTTGAAAATATGTGATCTCTGTTATCTACAGTTTTTTAAACTTGTGTACCTTGTGGCCAATTTAAAATCTATGACCTTAATAAGATATCTATAACCTCGGAATCGGAGCAGTTACCAGAATTAAGCGACGGCAAACAGTCACCGGAATAGTCGTAGGAATTAAGTGCGGCCAAGGAACAATCGCCAGAGTAGTCGCCGAAGCAGTAGGGGTGGGTGGGTTAATTATATTATATTATAGTTAAATATTTAATATAATATAATAATTGTAAAATATAATTAATTAATTCATGAAAAAATATGACTTTTTTAATTCTAAAACTTGGAGCCTAATTTTTGATTTCATGATAGATAATACACGATCCATGAACTTTTCCCTTTTTATTGTTCCACTATTATTTAGTTGTATTAAAAATTCAAAATCTTATGTTATTGTCGTACTTGGCCCTGAACCATTTTTTTCATTGCATTTTTATTATTAATCATTCATTAATTAGTACATCTTTTATTGATAATAGTTTCTACCTAACGTACATTAAAATGCAGGGAAAAAAAAAAGAAACGGAAAAGTGCGACAGAATATTTGTTCCATATTTTAGAGTACGCTAACGAAAAGACATAAATCATCATCAAATATGAGATATGCTAATTAATAGAAGATTGGTGTTTAAATTAAGACAAGAAAATGACAGACGATAAGTTTTAAGTAAAGAAAAAAAAATAATTATGATGCGTTTGATTGCTAATATTTTTCTCGAAAAATGTGTTTTTTCACCTAATTTCCCACTTTTGTGCTGTTTGATTGACAATTTTTTCCACAAAAAATATTTTCCTACTTTTGGTCATGTGAACATATTTTCCTTGAAAATAAGGAAAACATTTTCTTTGGAGATA